CTAGCTTTTACTGTTCCCGGGTTAGAAATTTTCGCGCCAAAATTTTCACGCGCTCGTATGTGGACTCGAGCGCTTCTAGACACCTGGTTTTGCTCGTACATGAATAGGGGACATTCCCTTAAAGTTTCAGCTTTCTAGCTTTTGCTTTTCCCGGGTTAGAAATTTTCACGCCAAAATCTTCACGCGCTCATATGTGGGCTCGGGCGTTTCTAAACATCTGATTTTGCTCGTACATGAGCAGGGAACATTCCCTCAAAGTCTCAGCTTTCTAGCTTTTAAATTTTCGCGCCAAAAATTTTCACGTGCCCGTACGTGAGCCCCGGGCTGTCCTAAGGAGCTGACTTTGATTTCGCGCCAAAAATTTTCACGTGCCCGTACGTAAGCCCCGGGCTGTCCTAAGGAGCTGAGTTTGAGAATTTTCACGTGCCCGTACGTGAGCCCCGGGCTGTCCTAAGGAGTTGAGTTTGAAAACTTTTGGTCGTGCATACGTGAGCCCCGGGCTGTCCTAAGGAGCTGAGTTTGAAAACTTTTGGTCGTACATGAGTAGGGAAATTCTAGCTTTTGCTGTTCCCGGGTTAGTAATTTTCGCGCCAAAAATTTTCACGTGCCCGTACGTGAACCCGGGCTGTCCTAGGAGTTTTCCGGGTTAGTAATTTTCGCGCCAAAAATTTTCACGTGCTCGTACGTGAGCCCCGGGCTGCCCTAAGGAGGTCAGTTTGAAAACTTTTGGTCGCAGGGAACATTCCTCCAAAGTTTCAACTTTCTAGCTTTTCTCATTCTCGAGTTATGAATTTTCCCGCCCTAATTTTCACGTGCCTGTACGTGAGCCTCGGGCAGTCCTGGGCAGCTGAATTTAAAATCTTTTGTCATACAAAGGTAGGGTTCTTCCAAGGTTTCAGCTTTCTAGCTTTTCTCGTTCCCGAGTTAGCAGTTTTCGCGCCAAAACTTCCATGTGCTCGTACGCGGGGCCCAGGCATGCGTGAGAGTTGAAACTGCGGTCCTGGGGTGGTACCTGGCTGGGGAACACACTGGCAAAGTTTCAGTCTGAAAGCTTGCGTGGTTGACGAGTTGAAACACCCGGACAGACGAACACACACACACACACACATATACACACACACACACACTGACAGGGTCGTTGCAATATGCGTTTTTGCTGCCTGTTGCAGCGTTCTAGCGCTGCACGGCAAAAACGCATAAAAACGACCGGGCATCATGCAAAAAACCGGTAATCATGCATCTGGATGTGCACTACCTTCATCCCAATTGTAATGCACCACCTTCATCCCAACTGATGCCCTTCTTCCTGCATGCTGGTTAGGATCAAAACGCGGCCAATATTAGCCCAAGTGTTAGGCTACAGCGTAGGGATCATTCCTGCTAATAGCGATCTGTAAGTTTAGTGCAAAAAAGCATGATCGCACCGGAGAGCCAGGTGCGTTCCAGCCTGGGTTGCAATTTGCACACATGCAAAAATGCATAAACTCATACTGTAAAGACCTATGGTGTGCGTATGTGCGTCCGTCCAGGTATTTCAAATCAGTAACTAAGCAAGGCTCGGCGCTGAAATTTTGCCAGTGAGTTCCCTGGCCAAGTGTCATCCCAGGGCCGCAGTACCAGCCTTCACGCACCCTTGAGCCCCGCTTAAATTACAGACTCGGGAACCAGAGAAGCTGAACTTTTAACGGAATGTCCCCTGTCCAAGTACAGCATAAAAATTTCAAATACAGCCGTCAGATATGCGTTTTTCTTACGTACGGACGCTTAAAAATTTTGGCGGGGAAACTGCTCACTGAACAGCTAGGCATTTTCAAAAAACCCAAGCTGGAACACACAAAATGAGCCGGTAGAATCATACGTTTTTGCACCAGACTTGGAGTAATTAGGTTAACTGCGTGAGCGGTTGTTTCTTCACACCTATCTTGTGCCCTCAGTACCGTAAATTATCGTAAGTTTTCCATAAAAGGAAATAAACAATGCCCGTTTAGTGGCAGCCTTTATTTCAGGATGACTCAGCTGTTCAATGAGCAATTTTCCCGCCAAAAATTTAAGTGCATGTACACGAGAACCGCCTATGCATGGGGGCTGAATAAGATAACTTTATGTCGAACATGGGATAGGAACATTTCCTGAAAATTTCGGCCTCCCAGCTTTGCTGGTTCGCAAGTTAGCTATTTTCTCGCCAAAAAATTTCGCGGGCCCTACGTGAGGACAGTGCATGCCTGGGGGATGAATTTGATAAATTTACGTTGTACGTGGATTGGGAAAGTCCCCTGAAAATTTCAACTTTCCATCTTTACTTTTTCCCGAGTTAGCCATTGTCCCGCCAAAAAATCTCTCGGGGTCGCACATGACAGCCACGCATGCCTGGGGGATGAATTTGATGACTTTAAGTCGTGTATGGGCTGGGAACATTCCTTGAAAATTTCAGCTTCCCAGCTTTGCTAATTCCCGAGTTAGACATTTTCCCGCCGAAAAATCTCACGGGGCCGTACGCGGCAGCCACGCGCACCTGGAGGCTGAATTTGAAATCTTTGAGTTATATTTGCACGGAGAACGTAACCTCAAAATTTCAGCCTCCTATCTTTTCTCGTTCCCGAGTTATCAGTTTTCCTACCAAAACTTTCCCCCTCTCGGGCCCAGACGTGCGTGAGGGATGGTACCGCGGTTCTGGGGTGATATTTGGTCGGGGTAAATCTCGGCT